AAAAGTACTTTATTGAGATAAATAAATAAGCCTAATTGACTATAGTAACACCCCGATGCAACTGCCGCTGATCCTAGTTCTGCCGCCCCTTATAGCCTGTTCCGCTGTCGTTGTTCTATAGCCAGACATAGGCGACGTCAGTGAGCCGCCTTGGCCTTGAATTCCCACAGGTAACTTGGAATATGCAACACACTAATTTCACAACCGTGTGAAATGAAATTATGCTGACACCGCTGCAATGCCTAATGCATTGGCTCCGTTATACTAATGGTTGCGTAAGCATTAGCCAGAGGTACTAACTGTGGCCGACGGTTCCCATAGGTGTCTGATAACGTTGTGCAATATTGCTATTGCATGATATGATGAAATGCACTTGGCCTTGCCAAAGGTGTAGGATGTCAATTATGTTGTGAACCACAATTATGCTGACATGGCGCACGTGTATTGCTGGACTGTGGGAATGCAACATGTTGGGTGACGGCGGAAGTGTTAACTCCTCCCCCTTTAAAGATCTGCGTCCCGCAGATTAGATGGATGTTCTTCGGTTTTTGAATTAGCCTTGTTGTCAATGTTCAATGCAGGTAGGTGTATCTTCGCCGTAATCCTTCTCCAAATATGCCAAAGGGATAACATTAGTATGACTAACACCAAACCTTCGGTGAACGCAAACCAATTGCTTTTCTCTTTGAGGTATCCCAGGAGCTTTATATTATGGGCTGTCATCCCGTGTATCAGGTTGAGGTTAATTACCACACTGCGGTTAGTGACGCTGGCCAAGATTGGTGGAAGCACCTGTACTCCTGATCTACTAGTACTCGAGTAGTTTTTGCCATTGATAGCTACGGTCTCATTGTTCATCTGGAGGATATAAGAACCATTAAGTGTATTTGAATTGTTGGAAAATGGTATCATCCTTGATGATTTCAACAGTGGAATCGTTACAGGTGGCATAAGTACAACTTGTTTGTCCTCCCTTGAGAAGACGAGTCAGGCAACTAGATTCTGGTAGCAGGTCGAGTGATTTCCCTTCGCAGATCATGGGAGCAGATAATTGCAAGCAGTGTTCCTTGATGCCGAATGTCTGATGTTTATTGGTCAGGATTGTTTGATATGCCAATTCCACTCGGACGCCGTTCTGTATGTTAGCTCTTGCGATCAGGTGATTAAATCTAGCTTTTGTGACCTTTGGTAGGGACAACACGTATAAGAGGTGTGTTGTTGGTGTAGATCGATGGTTTGCTATATTCAATGGCTTCAATGGCGTTGATGTATGGTAGAACGTCGATCTCACTGACAAGCTGGTTAACTTCCTCTATACTCAGAAGACTGGTGTTGACGACTCCTGCCTTAGCCATCTGACAAGCACGGATCAGTTTGTTGACGTCTTCATTCAGGATAAAGATTTTATGCTGGACTTCTTGAGAAATCCTGTCCAAGTTCCTCTTGTTGATTACATCATTGGTGGCGACCACAATGCCATTGAGCCTCTGCAATAACTGATTAGTTTTCTTAAAAATTTTATCATTCACCTTGTACTGCTGCTCGTTATTTTTATTAAGGGAATTTTCGTTTCGGAGGACCTCATCCCAGTCCGTAGCATCAGATGAGCCAGCAATCCATTTCCAAGCTGACCCAATCCAGTTAATAGATCGTTTTAATCTAGCCGTCTCGTGACCTCTTAGTTCGTTTAAACGTGTGCGGATTCTGCCTAGCTGGAATAGTAGTACCTTTGTAGATGCTGTTGTTTCATTTAAGGTAGTTATTACCCACTCGAGCCGATTTGTTGCCAGTTCATATCGTTCCAAATTTACCACATGAATTAGCTTGAAGTGTCCATCGATGATCCATCCATACCCATCTCGTATGGTTACCAGGGGTGAGTCTATCTTGAATAGGCCATAAGAATGCGCCATGGCGCAGGGGCACGTGCTACGGATTAGATTAATACATTAGTCTACTAATGGTTTATTACCCATACCCACGTTATAATAGTGACTCTATACAATTCAAAGTCTTAATTCTGAAATTCGTCTTAGCCATATCCTTTTTACATTATTATATTTTTTATTCTACTCAAAGTCTTAATTCTAAATTTCGTCTTAATCATATCCTTTTTCTCTTAACTATTCTACTCATTTAACTAAATATCTAACTTTATGTTTTTAATTAACCCAAGATCCTTATTCTAGTTTTGAGTTGCATGGGGTGAGTAGTGATAGAATTGAGAGATTTGCATGTTCTTTTGTTATTGTTTATTTTCTTAGGGAACCCAGTAGTGAAGTAGTTAGTTATGTTAATTGTTAACTAATTAGTGGTAAGTGGTTAATGCGAAAAATGAAAGTTAATTGTAGTAATAAGTTTCATGCAATCTTTTTTCCCCTTTTTTGTGAGAATTCACTTTCTCTTTTTTTTATTTTTTATTATGTTTTGCATTTGCATTTGCATCATATTTGCATGTTCTTTTATTCTTCGTTAAATTTTATATTTTTCGGCGCTTTTGCGCGAGATGTCTTCTTGTATACATTTGTTACTTTTGCGTACTTATTTAGCAGAATGTGTATTTATGGTTTTTTGCATCGGACTATAGGTATTATTTGTCTATGGAAGGCCCGCGTT